TTAGCCTATTTTCTATGGTTGTGAGCTTGTTTATCAGAAGAGTGAAGGCTCTGTGATATAGCCTTTAAAAATAAAAGCAATTATTATTCTTCTTGAAATGAAACAAAATCCTGAGATATAGGCCTACTGTGTACAGCAAACGAATAACAGCACAAAGATTAAAATTAAAAAACAACCCATAGCCTCTGCACTGCAGGTTATGGTGCTTTGAAAGAAGGTTGTTTGCTTTGATTCTATTAAAACTCAAAAAGAAAAAAAAATGTCACATAAGATAGATTATAGACTGACTGGAGAAACACAAAGAGTGAAGAAGCTTCAAACCCACTAAGAGACACATAAAGAGGAGGAATAAAGGGGCATTTCTGAGGAAACATTCCACCTGTGCATCTTCATGAAAGAGATCATGGACATGTGTGTTTGTGCTGGTGTCAGGGACTCCCCCATTCAGCAGTCCTGCCCCATCTCCTTCCTGGTCACAGGTGTGCACAGTCCAACCTATTGGCAGGGTTTCCATCGCAACCTACAGGTGCAAACAGTTGCTCCAAGTTAATCAAAGAGTTTGAATGGAAAACACACAACATGAAATAAACCAAACAACTTCGGGTTTGAGTCGAACAATAAGTGACCACGTTAATTTGTTCAGTTGAAGGAAGTTATTTGAGTAAACTGACTCTCCCGGTTCAACAGCAACAGGTGCAGAACGAAGACACCCGGATACAGCAGGGTGTGCACCTGACAGACAGCTGATAACGAGGCAAGAGCCAGGTCGACATTTTACTTACAAATTACTCTCGACAGCGGTTTACAGTGATATCATTTATGCAGCTATTATTTTTGCATCAAAGGTCGGGGAACAGATTTTAACAGTTTTACACTATTTTGACACTGTCCCTTTAAAAAATAATTAAATTATTACTATGTCAGCATTAAGACTATGGTATATATGTTGAGCAACGGCTGTCCTCTTCACTGGCAAAACTATTCACGCTCATCGCTACGTACCGTCGCCGCCAGACCTCATTAACAAACGAGTCAATTTAATGTTTCCTAGTGGTGAAAGTGAAGAAAAAATCCATAAACCTTTTGTGAAGTACTCAGATTCATTCCTAAATAAGGCAATGACCAATACGGCGACTTTATGAAATACAGTTGTATTGGAATTTTTTTTCTTTTCTAAATTGATTCACACACACACAAAAAAAAGCGTGGCAGGAGAATGAAACAAAAAGTGTGTAAAATGTTTATCAGATGAAGTGCTTGTTGTAGGGCTAACGCTATAGAAATCCTAAAATGATTCATATTTAGCAAGGCAAATACTTAAAAAACCACAGGTATTTAAATAATGCTTGAGCAAAACTCAACAGTTGGCTGAACATACCTTTCACAGAGTCCCATATCATTCCATGCTGAGAAAAAAACAAAAACAACCAGAGGAATAATCAGCAATCAAAATGACAAAAGAGTTGATTATTCCATTGTGCCTCAGTGATGGCTCCAGTCAGTGTGAACAGGACTCCCAGCCTCTCCTGCACTAAACAAGGTGTTTTATGAAAACGTCAGCAGGTAACTTTAGATGATGTGTTGTCACTGGTTGCCTTCCAGGGTGTGTTGCTGATTTGCACAAGGATCCTGTGTTAGTTTTGGCAAGCCCTGTAGTAGGCAAGGTTGACTAATGATTAAAGCTACAAAATGCCCCTACCACTCAATAGCCTTATCTTTTTTTATTTCTGGAATTCATTCCTAAAATATGTTTGGATCCCAGGTTTTGGGAAAGGAGATTATGTTTTGGGTCTTAAGGCT